TTTTTACCCAAAATACTCAGCCCAACCTTCTTAGAGTTAGGTCATGGTCCATTCCACCTAGATTTACACTATTCAGCTCATCATCTTCACTTATTTGGTTTCCATGCCTCTAGTCTTACAGTTCTTCAATCAATTACCACCATTTTAATATTTCTAAAATGCAAGTCTGGTCATTCCACTACTGCTTTTAAAAACCTGGGTCACCACCTCCCAGAATATTGGAAATAAAAGCAAAAATAAACAAATGGGACCTAATGAAACTTAAAAGTTTTTGCACAACAAAGGAAACTATAAGCAAGGTGAAAAGACAGCCTTCAGAATGGGAGAAAATAATAGCAAATGAAGAAACAGACAAAGGATTAATCTCAAAAATATACAAGCAACTCCTGCAGCTAAATTCCAGAAAAATAAATGACCCAATCAAAAAATGGGCCAAAGATCTAAACAGACATTTCTCCAAAGAAGACATACAGATGGCTAACAAACACATGAAAAGATGCTCAATATCACTCATTATCAGAGAAATGCAAATCAAAACCTCAATGAGGTACCATTACATGCCAGTCAGAATGGCTGCTATCCAAAAGTCTACAAGCAATAAATGCTGGAGAGGATGTGGAGAAAAGGGGAATGCAAACTAGTACAGCCACTATGGAGAACAGTGTGGAGATTCCTTAAAAAACTGGAAATAGAACTGCTATATGACTCAGCAATCCCACTCCTGGGCATACACACCGAGGAAACCAGATCTGAAAGAGACACGTGCACCCCAATGTTCATCGCAGCACTGTTTATAATAGCCAGGACATGGAAGCAACCTAGATGCCCATCAGCAGACGAATGGATAAGAAAGCTGTGGTACATATAAACCATGGAATATTACTCAGCCATTAAAAAGAATTCATTTGAATCAGTTCTAATGAGATGGATGAAACTGGAGCCCATTATACAGAGTGAAGTAAGCCAGAAAGATAAAGACTAATACAGTATGCTAACACATATATATGGAATTTAAAAAGATGGTAACGATAACTCTATATGCAAAACAGAAAAAGAGACACAGATGTACAGAACAGACTTTTAGACTCTGGGAGAAGGCAAGGGTGGGATGTTCAGAGAGAACAACATTGAAACAAGTATACTATCAAGGGTGAAACAGATCACCAGCTCAGGTTGGATGCATGAGACAGGTGCTCAGGGCTGGTGCACTGGGAAGACCCAGAGGGATGGGATGGAGAGGGAGGCGGGAGGGGGGATCGGGATGGGGAACACATGTAAATCCATGGCTTATTCATGTCAATGTATGGCAAAAACCACTACAATATTGTAAAGTAATTAGCCTCCAACGAATAAAAATAAATGGAGAAAAAAAAAAAAAAACCTGGCTCACAAAAGAGCAAGAAATGAGGCTACAACCTGAACCAGAAATGGAGATGTCATTGGAACATTTACCTCTCCTGCCTGGCCAACCACCTGATCTTTAATCATGCTGTTCAGCTTACATAGCTTCAGGTCCTTGAGCAAGTCTTCCACACCATTCCAGCCTCCTTTATTTGTCTAGTCACCATTCACCATAGAGTTCTCAAGTTTTCTCTCAGCCCCTCTTCTTTTGGATGAACTTGCATGTTAGAGGTGAAACTGATATGTCCTAATAAGGTAATAACCAGTATACTTTTCCCATGAGCATCAAATCATTTGTGTATTTCTGCATCAAATTATTTGTGCATTTACATATTTTAAAAAGCAACTATTATGCAAAGAACCTGCCTGCAATGCAGGAGACCCTGGTTCAATTCCTGCATTGGGAAGAAACGCTGGAGAAAGGATAGGCTACCAACTCCAGTATTCTTGGACTTACCTTTACACACTCCAGTATTCTTGGGCTTCCCTTGTGGCTCAGCTGGTAAAACATCTGCCTGCAATGAGGGAGACCTGGGTTCGATCCCTGGACTGGGAAGATCTCTCCTGGAGAAGGGAAAGGCCACCTACTCTAGTATTCTGGCCTGGAGAATTCCATGAACTGTATAGTCCATGGGGTCACAAACAGTGGGACACGACTTTCACTTTCACTTTTCTTGCAAAATATATATACACTTCAAATTTGTAGAGCTAGTAGCCATATGCAATTTGAACTCTAAATTCACTTACCTAATATTTTAAAAATTTGAAGAAATGTCTACTGAGTAAATAAAGAGTTAAATATTTGCTGTTCTTCCTCTGCTTGCTTGTGTAATAAATTACATACTTTAAATCTCAGCTAAGATACCACTTCACAAAGAAAACGTTCCCTGCTTGAGGGAACATTGGGGTTAATACTATTTCTTCCATTTGAGGTTACTTTTTGGGGTCTTGAATTTCTGATCTACCACGAGTAATAAGGATTTCAGACAGCTGACACCCACTAGACACCTTCAGGATTGAACCATGAAGAACAAAGTAGACCTCAATAAAGGAAACTAGAAGACAGAATTGTCCCAGCAATGATCAGCACATTAAAATGAATGTAATTTCTAAGATAGGTCACTTATACTCCACCAATCAAAAAGTAGGAACAAGAAAAGGGAGAAAAGCCTGATACATAATCCTTTACTTTTAGATAATTTCAAATATACAAACAAGTACCTTGAAAAATAATAGTATAACTAACATATATAATATTTACCAGATTCACATATCAACAATATATCCCTTTTGCTTCATCTCCTCTCTAGCTTTCAGCAATTGTACAATTTTTCATCTAAATATTTTAATTGTGAATTTCTTAAGAGTATGAATATTCTTCCACGGAAACATGGTGGAGTTAAAACTTCATAAAATGTAGTTTGGATTCAATCAGTCAGTCAGTTCAGTTACTCAGTCATGTCCGACTCTTTGCGAGCCCATGGACTGTAGCATGCCAGGCCTCCCTGTCCATCACCAGCTTCCAGAGTTTACTCAAACTCATGTCCATTGAGTCGGTGATGCCATCCAACCATCTCATCCTCTGCTGTCCTCTTCTCCTCCTGCCTGCAATCTCTCCCAGCATCAAGGTCTTTTCAAATGAGTCAGTTCTTTGCATCAGGTGGCCAAAGTATTGGAGTTTCAGCTTCAGCATCAGCCCTTCCAATGAATATTCAGGACTGACTTCCTTTAGGATGGACTGGTTGTATCTCCTTGCTGTCCAAGGGAATCGCAAGAGTCTTCTCCAACACCATAGTTCAAAAGCATCAATTCTTCAGGGCTCAGCTTTCTATATAGTCCAACTCTCACATCCATACATGACTACTGGAAAAACTATAGCTTTGACTAGATGGACCTTTGTTGGCAAAGTAATGTGTCTATTTTTAATATACTGTCTAGGTTGGTCATAACTTTCCTTCCAAGGAGTAAACATCTTTTAATTTCATGGCTGCAGTCACCATCTGCAGTGATTTTGGAGCCTCCAAGAAAATAAAGTCTCTCACTGTTTCCCCACCTATTTGCCATGAAGGGATGGGACCAGATGCCATGATCTTAGTTTTCTGAATGTTGAGCTTTAAGCCAACTTTTTCATTCTCCTCTTTCACTTTCATCAAGAGGCTCTTTAGTTCTTCATTTTCTGCCATAAGGGTGCTGTCGTCTGCATATCTGAGGTTATTGATATTTCTCCCAGCAGTCTTGATTCCAGCTTTTGCTTCATCCAGCCCAGCGTTTCTCATTATGTACTCTGCATATAAGTTAAATAAGCAGGGTGACAATATACAACCTTGACCTACTCCTTATCCTATTTGGAAGCAGTCTGTTGTTCCATGTCCAGTTCTAACTGTTGCTTCCTGACCTGCATTCAGATTTCTTAAGAGGCAGGTCAGGTGGCCTGGTATTCCCATCTCTTTCAGAATTTTCCACAGTTTGTTGTAGTCCACACAGTCAAAGGTTTGGCATAGTCAATAAAGCAGAAACATGTTTTTCTTGAACTCTCTTCTTTTTTGATGATCCAACAGATGTTGGCAATTTCATCTCTGGTTCCTCTGCCTTTTCTAAATCCAGCTTGAACATCTGGAAGTTCACGGTTCACATGCTGCTGAAGCCTGGATTGGAGAAATTTGAACATTACTTTACTAGCATGTGAGATGAGTGCAATTGTGTGGTAGTTTAAGCATTCTTTGGGATTGCCTTTCTTAGGGATTGGAATGAAAACTGACCTTTTCCAGTCCTGTGGCCACTGCAGAGTTTTCCCAATTTGCTGGCATATTGAGTGTAAGACTTTCACAGTATCATCTTTTAGGATTTGAAATAGCTCAACTGGAATTCCATCACCTCTACTAGCTTTGTAAAAATAATTTGTACAGAGAAGTATAATAATGAATGGCTTTCAATTACAGGGAAACAATTTTCTAAAATAAATGAATATTACATGACACATGGTATGGGAATCTAAAGAATAATATTTGTATAAGACCAGAAAGTTCTGATACAGAATGAAGAAAAATAAACCACTAGTATAAAAATGTCTTATTTTATGGTTCTCTGAAATGTTCTACATTCAACATTTTTTTTAGTGCCCTTGTGACATCCTTATTCCTAAGACTATAGATTAAAGGGTTTAGAACAGGAGTGAGTATGGTGTAAAAGGCAGATACCGCCATGTCCTTCTCAGGGGTGTGGTAGGAGCTGGGGAGCATGTAGGTATAGATGGCAGCTCCATAGAAGAGGATGACCACAGTCATGTGGGAAGAACAAGTGGTTAAGGCCTTTTTCCTGCCCTCTGCTGAATTCATCCTGTGGATGGTGAGGAGGATGAATGAATAAGAGCTTGAAATGACTGTCACAGGAATGAGGAGCATGAGGACACAGCACAGGTACATGAGTGTCTCATAGAGGGAAGTGTCTGAGCAGGAGAGCTTCATTACAGCAGGGACCTCACAGAAGAAGTGATGGATCTCCCGGGATCTGCAGAAGGGGAAGGTCATGGTGACTGGTGTGAGCATAAAGCCATCCACTGATCCCAGGAACCAGGAGCCAGACACTAGGAGGAGCCACACCTTATGGCTCATGAGAGTAGAATAATGGAGTGGATGACAGATGGCCACATACCGATCATAGGCCATGGTAGCCAAAAGGAAATATTCTGAACCTCCAAGTGTCACATAGAAAAACATTTGCATTCCACATTCAGGGGCTGAGATCTTATTCACACCCATGACCTGGTCCATGAGCATTTTGGGCACAGTGACAGAAATGTACATCACATCCATGAGAGACAACTGGCTGATGAAATAGTACATGGGGGTGTGGAGGTGGGCATCAGAATATATCAGAAGGATCAGGATGCTATTTCCAGATAAGGCCATCAGGAAAATCACAAAAATGACCACACAAAGGAAAGCTGGATGCTTGGATTGACTGAAGAGCCCCATAAGGATGAAATCCAACTGTCTAGTGTGGTTGGTGACCCAGGTAGATTTGTCCATGAAGTTTCTCCTAGACCACCAAGGAAAGATTTGTGATTAATAAATCACTCATGGTATACGATCACCTGAGATGAATGTTTAGTGGGTGTGTGTGTGTGTGTGTGTGCCTATTTGTGGATGCAAAGCAATGCAATTGTGCTGAAAGGAGTTAGTGGTATGAGACTGAAGATTCGGGGGTTATAAGGTGCTTGTAAATAAAAAAAACTTAGTGGAAAACTAAGAATTCACAACTGTTGATTAAAATAATTTATTTATAGTAAACATTAGGTTTTTGTTATATAAGGCAGAATTGATTCAATCTGTCTATTTTAAGGATCCAATTGGATCTTAAAAACCTTTAGTAATATGTGAAAAAATTAGAAAGTAACTTAAACATAATTTGGTGAACACATATACCAAAAATTCCACCTATATTTGTGTGTTGGTTCAAGCAATTTTGTGAGGCTCTGCATTTTTGTGGAGTGAGCCATGCATTCCAGGGGCAGATTTGGGTTCTCAACAATAACCAATCCCTTAGATAGACTAAAGAGAGTGAGTGAGAAGCCCAGACTCTAAGGGTGGACTATGGGTCTTTATTATCCTCTATCCACCATTCCTCTGTCTACTCTACTTAAACAAAGAATAATGTTTGATATAAAATGCATTTAGAATTAAATGAAGTAAAATATTGAAAAGGCTGAAAACATTACCAGTTACAGATGAATAAACATACATACTGTCAAAGCATTAATATCTAGTAAATATTGTACATATTCTAAGAGAAGGTTGTTATTATTTCTTTTATGATCAGATTCATTACTTCAGCTTGCTAGTTTTAATACCTCTACATTTATACAAGAATTTGGATTTGATAAACTCTGTAGTTCAAGACATATATATATATACACACACACACAAATTATACTATTTCACAGTATTATATATTATATTATTCTAACATAATCTTTCTAAAATATATGTAAATATGTGTATATACATAATCTCAGACTTTCTACAGTACAAACTTTATGTATTTTATATAAATGGGAGAAAGTTGCTCAGTCATGTCTAACTCTGTGCGACCCCATGGCATACAGTCCATGGAATTCTCCAGGCCAGAATACTGGAGTGGGTAGCCTCTCCCTTCTCCAGGGGATCTTCCAACCCAGGGTGCAGGCAGATTCTTTACCAGCTGAGCACCAGGGAAGCCCAAGAATACTGGAGGGGGTAGCCTATCCCTTCTGCAGGGATCTTTCTGACCCAGGGATTGAACCAGGGTCTCCTGCATTGCACATGGATTCTTTACTAACTGAGCTATGAGGCAGGCCCTTTTATATAAATATTGACATACAAATATGAAATATATAATCTATCTTTCTTAACTCTGGTTAAGTAGAGGTTTATGGACAGTTCCATTTCAGTTCTGTCTTCTCCAGCTTCATCTGCTTAAAGCTCATACCATTTGTTCTAAATCTCAGGGAGATGAAATAGCATTGAGATTGTTATTCCCATTTACAGACAAGATTTTAGTTGTCTTGTAAACATCATCAGCTTTATTGTCTATGGCAATCAATTTTTCATGGAAACAGAGATGCAGAGAGGAAAACTGAACAACATTGAAATGTCTGACTTCAGTTTTCTTTTCTCTACGTTGTTGTACATAGCTTATATCTGTGCTGGAGGCTGAGGACAAATCAAAGAAAAATTGAACTTGTTTACATTTAGGTGAGTCATATTCAATCTATTTAGGGAGAAGTATTATGTAAATATAATTTAAATTAGAATTTTAAAAGGGCTACAAAATAAGAAAGAGGACTAAAGCAAAATACATCTGGTGTTTTAGAAGAGACTCAGTAATTGCTTCTTCCATACTTTTTCTTATGAAGATTTAACCTTTGCAACTTTTCAATTTCTGATATGTTAAATGTTAAATTTTATAAATCTTACCAAGAAGAGGAAATGTTGGCTCCTCTTGCAGAGAAAAGTTTAGAAGTACTTGTGATTTTAGGAATATGTTGGGAAGATTATCCAAGTCCTAATATACTTTATACTCTTGTAATAATCCCAGAGATTTATTAACAGTCCCAAGTTCTGGGGTGCTGAAGCAGTAAACAATATTGAAAATAATCCCTTATTCTAAATATCTGGGAAAAGTACCATTAAAAATATAATATTTCTGTCAAATTCCACCTACACTGGCAGAGGAAAGCTGAACTCTGTGCAAAATTTAAAAACAAATAAACTAAAGATACCCTTGTGGCTGAGTTTCTATTTGTGATCAAAGTGGCAAAGGACCAGTGCACTGACTCGCAATGTGAAGACCTCAAAACTGCTGGAGGAATGAAATGAGAGCAGGAGGGGAAATGGGAGGCACTGGGAAAATCTCTTTGCCCTTTGGAAAATCATAGTCACTGTGATTAAGGCCACACTGAACAGCCTACCTAGGACATCAGACAGTCAAAGGAATACAGTCTGTATCAGGCAAGGCAACTTGCTTTCTTGGTAACTCTTACTGTTCTGTCTTAACTCTTACTCCAACTGTCTGAGTTTAATATAAGTGGAATAGTGCATATTGAACTTGGGGAGTTATTAACCTTAGGGGTAGAATCATATAAAATCTTGGGTGAAGCCAATTGTCTTATTATGTTGCTGTTTTTTTTTTTTTTAAATCTCCCCAGGAGCCTATGAATTACAAACTCATTTTATTTTGTCCTTCTACAAATTAAATAATTCTGGTTCCTGGGCATCTGTCTAGCATCACACAATTCATCTGAAGAAGTATTCGAGTATCAGCTCATGTGTTGGGACACAGAACCTTTAACACTACCTTAAATTCTCTAGGCTACTGTCTTCCCTCTAAAGTCTACAACTTGGGTATTAGCCACTGTCGATTTCATCTGAGAAATGTAAGATTAAGACATTTATTTCAGTGTTCTAACTATCAGAAATAATCCTCACTCAAAGTAAAATTAGTTCGTTTTCTTCTGCAAAATTTGAATCACAAGGACACAAGTTTATCATATAGTAATAGAGGAGAAATGTGAGTTCTTTTGTCCATAAATGATTGGAAATCAAAACCCATATTTTAATATGCTGCAGTAAATAGATGTTATATAAAAGATTTAAGAAAAAAAACAAACACTATTGATTTTCTCCATATAAATAGATAATAAGATAAAATTAGGAAATATAGTCAAGTATTAATAGAATGTCAGAAGTAGAACAAGAAGAAAATAATAATTACCCTTTTGATCCTGTAGACCTATATTCCTATCTGATTTACTCCAATATCAGATGATGCTGAAAGCCTCATCTAGATGGGCTAATGGAGAGTGGTCACAGTTAAATGTATAAATAGAGATAGAACAGTGACTTCATCCCTGGTGTTACGATGCTCATTAGCGGAGTGGAGGATGATTTTCTATTGATAAATCCTCTCTGGAAACTTCAAGAAGCATGCAATTAAGAGAACTAAAAAAAGATAACAGATATCTCTGTCATACTTTTTTTGGTTTTTCCTAATGTCTTAAAAAATCTCTTTATTATTAAACTAGAAATCTTAAAAAAAATAGCAATAATCTCAAATCTTACCATCATCAGTAAAATTTTATCTATGGCATAGGTATTAGTTTACGTATGGCCTTAACCTATTCACATTACAAAAGATATTTTCTTATACGTATATACATATATCTTCATTGCTTCTTCAATACTTTTTGTGTGGTATTGATGCTTGTCTTTCAGAGTTACAGAGTCTGAAATTCATAGTCTAATTGATGTGTCAAAGACAGCACTACTAATCAGTACTGTGGTTGAGACTAAAATTGTGATGGTCTTTTATATTTTCATCTGGATTGGTCTTCTGTAGGGTACTGATTTTAATCTTTAGTCACCCAGTTGCAATCTCTGTTGCTTTAATACTGCATTTAATTTTATGTATCTGGTTTTAATTTAAATTTTGACATGCTAATTGTAGAAAAAAAATTTAAAACCCACGAACTATTACAAAGAAAGTTTAAAAATCAACCATAATTTACTTTTTGAGGCAAAAATTATGCCTCAATGGTTGTATCTTGATTTCAGAATACAAATATTTATGAAATGTGTACCATATACCACGCAGTTGTGATAAACCAGGGAAGAAAATAAAGCAATCCTATCCTCAGGGCAAAGAGTCGGACATGACTGAGCGACTGAACTGACTGACTGATCCTCAGGGAAATTGTAGCAAAATTCTTCTTAACCTTATTCTGTATGTGTATTCTCAAATTATGTTGATTATTTTCCCTTGCCATGTTTATTCCTTGGCATCCTTTGTCTAAATGGTGACTTGTTTGTGAGGCCCACAATTTGTAGGGTGGTCTCACATGTCCTCTGAGCTTCCGTCTACAGATGGTTTGTCCTAATTCCTTTGTCACCTTGTTTCCCATAAGACACTGAGAATGCAAGTACTGGGAGACCCTGGACAGTGGGAGGAATAAAGAAGCTGCATATTTTTTTCTTGTTTGTGCTTGTTGGTCTCTGGCAGCTGCAGCAGTTGTAGCCAACTGAGGACCATGCGAGAGCTATGGGATCCAGCACTTCAAAAGTAGTTTCAGTGGCACTACGGGATGCAGGCATCTGAGTTGCAGCAGAGGAGGGTTCCACCAGTAGCCCCAAAATGCAGTAGCTCAATCAGCTCAGCAGTGTGGGTTGGTGGCTCTCCAGTAGTTCACGAGGGCTCTTGGTCCTTGGATGACAATACTCTCTTTCTTGCTTCCCCAGCCTTCTTTCCAACACTTTACCAGCTAATCTGTAGCCAATCCCCTATTATATTCCATCAGTTTGAAGTGTATAAAGTATTTGCTTATAATTGGACACGAGGTTAATATCCTATCAAGTTAATTGTACATTTATTATAATCCTTAATATTGAATAATTATATTGCATTTAAATTTCTAAATTATAAGTTATGCTCAAATAAATGCACTTTTATAAAAAGCAGTCTCTGAATGCAGTTTTTTCTAAATTAATTTACTAAA